GAAGTAGTATTTATATAGATCTTTCATTCGACATATTTTTTTTAAATCAGACCATTTCTCTTAAAACGGGGGGGATTCAAAACATAAAAATTCATATAGAAAGTAGAACTTTTTCAACTTAACTTTTGAAAGTGTTCCAAAAGGTCTGACACTTTTATATATATCTTAAATTAAAGCTTATGTAATATACTTTAACATGGAAAAAAAAAATTTCGGACTTTATTTTATCTTCAAGGTGAAAATGGCTACCAAATGCTATTATTGTGTGAAAATTCTCAATTTTATTTTTTACATTTTTAACATTATAATGCTATAACTTATTGAAAAGTGTATTGATCAATATAATTTTTTTATGGGAAATACTATTTTTTAATAATTCCTTTTTCATTCGACATACTTTATCTTAATCAATATATTAATAAGGACCTAGCAGTTTATGAAGCTTTTGGAATAATCCACCAATTTTTTAAAATTAAACACAATCTAAAGATTTGCATCGAAGCGTTTTTTTTTTATAGTGATTTTAATCACTGTCAGATATCATTATACTTGATCCAACTATTTTTCTTCTCCTTTTCATAGTTTTTTCCTATGAATATTTATATTTAAAATAGTAATTATAAATTTTTAATTAAATAATTATAAAATGTTGTTATATTATACATGGCCTCTTTTTTTTTTTCTCTATAACTCTGTTACTTTTCCCTCATTTTTATTAACATTTTTTTTTTTTTTCAAAACCTAGTAACTCCGTCAATAAGTATTATCTTGTTTGGCGCGGCTACTAGGTCACTGTCCAGTGTTCCCCCTAGGCAGTGGATAATTAGTAGGCCCTCTGTTTGGCTGAAACCTTACACAGCATACCATATATGTTGATAGGATAAAATTTTTTGATGTGTCGAATTTTTAAATGTTTTTCTTAAAATAATAATGAACATCTATAGTTTTTATTTCATAAAATAGAGAGTCGGTATTCTCATATAATAATTTACACTTATTTGCATACATTTTTTTCATAAAGTTTAAGTGAAAATCGTATATAATAGATTTGGAAATTTCTAATACTGAAAAGCCAGCGTAAAATTATTTATCATACAATTTCAATTTTTTTTAAGTGAATGGCTGCCACATTACTATTAAAAATAGCTATACCATTGAAATGTGGTTTAGATATTAAAACTTGCTCCGTGTCTATTCCCTAAATTTTTCCATTTACTTAAAATTTCAACGTCAATTCGTTTTCCGGGGTATTCCAGACATTTTCCATAAATGCTGTTAATCATGAGTTTAAAACAATCTATTTCGAAAGCCGACTAAGATGCCATACGTTTTCTCATATTCAAATTTATATATGCCTTTATCCAAGCCGACTGTTCGAATTTTATACTTTATTTTTATTTTTTACTTTAGTCCTAAACTAATAACTTGTTTTAGAGTCCGATAATGAATAATCTAATTTTTTTCACTCATATTTACTAAACTACGAAACGAGGGTTTGGGAGATAATGTACTTTTGTTCAGAATACTCTCTTGCGACACATCATCATGAATTCATCATCATTTGTTTACATTCTCCTTGTTATGATAAATTGATCAAGAGTTAAAATTTCGGCTAATTTTTCAAGATGGTAAAAAGTTGAAAGAATCTATAAATTTCAATGTCGGTCGCTTATTATTGGATATCTTAATTGTTTTTTTAATTTAGATATATTTTTCATTCGTTTTTGCCACTATTTCAATACCTTCGTCATCATCCCCAAAATAAAGTTCTGTAATAATAAAGTGAGAATCATAATTCTGCAGAGTATGTAGAATTCGGCAATAAATGACGGGAACATACATTTTAGTTTACAATCTCTATGCACAGCGCCATAATATTTCCCTGTTAAGTGACACGACCAAGCCGCCACTTTAAAGACGGAATATTGTCGTCCTTGAGAAGCACAATGGTGCCTACTTTTGTCTTAGGTCCTTTCTCACCAACCCATTTCGTTCTCTCCTGCAACTGCGCTAAATACTCCCGACTCCAGCGCTTCCATAAATTTTGAGAATATTGAGAAACACGCCTCCAACGTGTTAACCGGTTACTTGATATGTTCGTTTGATCCAGTTCAGGCAAAGCAGTTAAAGAATTACCAATGAGAAAATGACCAAGAGTGAGAGGAGACAAGTCGCTTGGATCAGAGGATAGTATCGTTAATGGGCGACTATTTAAGCATGCTTCCGCCCGGGTAATTACAGTAAGTAGCTCCTCATAAAATAAATGGGCATCATCCAAAACCCTACGTAATAAATATTTCAGCGACTTTACTTCAGCGTCCCACAGACCTCCAAAATGCGGTGAGCACGCAGGAATAAACTTCCACTTCACTTCGTTTTCAGACAACATATTATTAATTTTACTTTAATATTCTTCATTTTGAGATAATTCATACCATTCTTTAAGTTGACGATTTGACCCTATAAAATTTGAGGCGTTATCAGAGTACAAAGTTTTACTTTTTCCGCGTCTATCAAAAAACCGATTTAAAGCACGTAAGAAAGCATCGGTACTTAAATCACTGACCAACTCAAAATGCACCGCATGTGTCGCAAAACAAATAAATATACACACATAGGCTTTAGTAACCGGTGAATTTTTCCTTAATCCTGTTTTTAACAAAAATGGACCACAGAAATCTATACCTGTGGCTAAAAAAGCTCAACCCGGAGACAGGCGGTTCCTTGGTAGATCTCCCATGATCGGTTGCACCACTTAAGGCTTGTGACGAAAACAAACAACACATCTATTAACGGTAAATCGTGCGAGGTTTCGACCGTTAATAGGCCAATCATTTAATCGAACAGACGCTAATAACGCTTGTAGGCCACTATGCATTAACTTGATGTGTTCCTCTCTAAATAACAATTTGGTAAATGAACAATGTGACGGTAATACCATAGGATTCCGTTGAAACACTGAAATATCGTCTGCGTTTTTTAAACGCCCACCCACGCGTAGCAAATTGTTTTCATCCAAAAATGGTCTAAGACGATATAATTTACTTGCCTTTGAGATCTCCTTTCCTTTTTTCAATTGCATTATTTCGCTTAGAAATGATCGACCTTGAACCAACTTAACCAAACATAACCTCGCTGCCTTTCTTTCTATCGCACTTACAAAGCCATTTCGCTTAGAAGTATGAAATATATTTTTCTTTTTGTAAAAATTATCTAATGCGTTATTTTTAAATCTTAAACAATAAGCCACAACACGCAATAATTTTTTGAACGAGGAGAACTTTGATAGTAACTGAAACTCTTCGTCGGTGGAACACACAACACTTATGGAAGATTTAAATTCCGGCATTTCTTCTAAGTTACTGACAATCTCTTCTTTTGTTGTATTTGGCCATTCCTTTTCATTCAACAAAAGCCAACTAGGCCCGTGCCACCACAATGACATGGCGTTCAACTCAGATACGCGACATCCACGCGATATTATGTCGGCTGGATTATCTTTCCNAGGCCCGTGCCACCACAATGACATGGCGTTCAACTCAGATACGCGACATCCACGCGATATTATGTCGGCTGGATTATCTTTGCCGTTANTTATGTCGGCTGGATTATCTTTCCACGTGATACCAGTCTGACGGAGCGGTCAATTCTTGTATTTCACCGATACGGTGTGCTATAAACGTTTTACATTGACGCGAAAGGGACGATATCCAACACAATACAACCTTTGAATCAGACCAGTAAATTTTTTTGTTTATAGGTAATAATAACTTTGGAATAATTTTGTTACCTAAACACGCAAGTAATACGGCAGCACACAATTCTAATCTCGGTAGAGATAATTATTTTAAAGGAGCTACTTTACTTTTAGCGCTGATTAAATTACTATAATTATTACCATATTCGTCGGAACACCTTAGATATAGACAACAACTATAAGCATTTATACTAGCATCGGCAAAACCATGCACTTCAATGTTTACCATTCTATTTTTTATTGTAATTTGTCGTGGTATTTTTAAGTCATTTAACGCGTTCAAATCAGTTTTATAGTTTAACCATTCTTTACGGATTATATCACTTACTGGCTCATTCCATGTAATACGTTCCTTCCATAGACTTTGTAATATTAATTTAGCCTTTATAATTACTGGTCCGATCAGCCCTAACGGGTCATAAATTCGAGCAATTTCCGATAAAATATTACGCTTGGAGAGAATCTCGGCAGTCAAATTTTTATTTATCTCGATTTTGTACTGCAACATATCTTTATGCAAGTCCCAGCACAAACCTAGTATTTTTGTTATCGAATTATTTATATCAGGTAATTGGGTTAAATTCTCTTCAGTGCCATTCATACTATTAATCAACGACGATTCATTCGACGACCATTTACCTAATTCAAGACCGGCTGCTGATAGTATTTCAATAAGACCGTCACATAATTCAGCAGTTGCCGCCTGCGATACGTTATCACTCAAAAAATCATCCATATAAAAATCGCGACCTATAGCGGCGACCGCACTGGGAAACCTGTTTTGTTCAGTTATCGACAATATCTTTAAGCAACCCGCGGCAATATACGAAGCAGGTACCGTTCCATAAGAAAGAGTATTTAAACGGTATATGCTTATCGGTTCATTTTCTTCTTCTCTCCATAGAATACGCTGATAATCCCGATGTTTATTTACGACTAATATTTGTCGTCACATTTTTTTTTATATCAGCGGTTAAAATATAATTATGAGTTCTAAAATGCGTTAATATATAAATTAAGTCATCCTGAACCGTTGGACCTTTTAACAAAGTGTCATTTAAACTAATTCCACTTTCGGTTTTTGTTGAAGCGTCAAATACTACACGTAATTTGGTAGTAATACTATTTTCATTACGTACACCATGATGGGGTAAATAACAAATTTTTCCCGGTATATCTGTTGATTCGACACCTACCCTTTCCATGTGATTCAAATTCTCGTATCTCTCACAAATTTGACATATCATCGTTTTAGTCCTGGATCCCTACGAAATCTTTTTTCCGTGGACAGTAATCTTCTTTTTGCAATTTCATAAGATTCACCCAACTGGTTTACATTTTCCTTGAACGGCAGGTGTACAATAAAACGTCCCGTGACATCTCTAATTACCGTTTTTTCAAATATTTTTTTACACGCCTTTTTTTCAGCCGTGTACGGAACCGCAAGATTACATTCTTCGGTGCGCCAAAACTGCTGTATTAAATTTTCTAAAACTCCATCATCTATTGAATCCTCTATAGAAACAACATATGATGTCGATTTACTAGGCATGTTAGTACTAGATATGGCAACCGATACAATAAAACCAAACTCAGTTTCTTGGTAAATAAGTCCCTTATCTGCAATTTTAAACTGTTTTTTACCGATTAAATTGAAAAAATGGCTAGCTCCTATTAAAATATCAACTGGTTGCGGCACATTATATAATGGGTCCGCTAAGGTAACTCCCGCGGGCGTGTTTTTATCATCTCCGATTTTCTTCATAGGCAAATCCCCCGTTATCTTTGGCACCACCAATAATCGAGTGAATAGCTGAAAGTCACTATTACGCGATTTTATTTTTAATTCAACCGTTGACGAAATACTTTGGGTCGTTTGCCCTATACCACAAACAATATGATTAATTTTTTGTCTTTTTAACCGTAAACTATTAGCTAACTCTACTGTAATAAAGTTATTCATGGATGCTGAGTCAAGGAGCACCCTTGCTACGGACGTTTGGCCAATGGAATTGCTGACTTGGACTAATGGTGTCGCTAATAAAATTTGATCGAATGTATTAGATACATGTGCGGTGGTCAAAATAGTAGATGATGGCTCACTTGAATTATTTTCTGTTTGGATTTCATGTTAATTGGATACTACACTTTTATTTAAATGTAACAACGTATTATGGGGATTATTACACTTTAAACAATATCTACCAAAACATTTTATTTTGTCGTGTTTCCGTAAACAAATTTTACACAGGCCTATTGTATTCACTTTAGATATGCGCTCGGCTACCGATAACGCAATAAAAGATGGACACTTATATATTGTANAACGTTCGCCTAAAAATGTTGTTAATTCCTTAACAGTTGGTACTTTATCCTTGGATGATTTTATCTCCCACGACTTCAGCGTTTCTCGATCCAGCTTTGAACACACTATGTGCAACAGTAAAGGGCCCCAATCTCCTGGTTTTTCGCCTAAAGTTTCTAAAGCCTTCATATTATCATTTAAGTCGTCTATTAACATACGTAATCTTCTGGCAGTACTATCTTGTAACGGTTCTAACTCGACAATATTTCGGACGTGTCTTTGAACTAACACCTTTTTATTATTATAACGTTCAATTAATGTAGTCCAAGCGGCCTCATAGTTTGCGTCCGTTGTTTCAATGCATCTAATACTACTAGCTGCTTCTCCATTTAATGATGACTTTAAATAAAAGAATTTTTTAACTGGCGTTATCTCCGCATTAAAATGCACCAGGCGTTGAAACATATCAAAAAAGGCTGACCAATCTTCATATTTGCCACTAAAAGTTGGTATATTTAATGCAGCTAAATTAATTGTCGATTGCGTCGAAGTAGCTCCTGTATTTTGCGCTGTTCAAGACCCTGCTGAAACATAGGGTTTAATACTTTCTCTGCCTCCGCTACTGCTTTAAAGTAAGTATCCTTAAACTCTATCCGATATGGAAAATTCTCATTATTATTTTTTACTTCATTTGCCTCGTCTTCCATGGCAGACTGGACCTGTGGAAATTCATTCCACGTATCTTCTAACTTTTCTCTTCGTATCCTAAGTTGATATTTATCGATAGCTTCCCCATGTATAAAAGTCACAAATCGCGTTAAAGTAGCTTTTAATTGACCTCTTCTTACTGTAAGTGGCGCTGAATCATTTGTAGAGGCCATTATAGAGAAACGAAGCAAATCGATGATTACCCCCTGACCTTACTTACCTACTACTTTTATCGCTACTATACATTTACCGATAATAAATTTACTATTCCGACTGTTTATCAGTGCGGTCTAACATACTACTAATAATAAATACTATTGCAATTTCCCCTGATTTTTCTCTTTTTTTTTTACAACAAACGCTATTATTAAATAACCAAACAAAAGCGTGTTTAACGAATAGGGAATTTTTTTTTTTTTTTTTTTTAATATATAACGATACTTAGGAAAATAATGTAATTCTGTTACCTTGACAATATTTTCTCTCTTCTAGCAGTTTTTTCTCGAGAGAAAATGTTCGAAATGGACGGGTTGGTCATCTAATTATCCAAACATGATACTTGACGAATACGAATTATCTTGTCTACGACTCCCTCGCTATAATATTACGTCTAATAATAACACTTATTTGTTAAATATACACGAATAGTCACCACGATATTACACGATGTACTAAAATATTATTTAGTAACACAAAAATACGATATAATCGTATTTAAGACGCACTTTACATAAACTGATCTGGCACGTAATTGGACCAAATTTTACGACTGTGGACTGTATTTTAATTTTTACGAGAAGAATATTACTTATGTCGCTTAACTATGAATTAATAAAACGAACTTTTCTATATGTGAATAGTGAGGCATTTATTAGGAGACTGGTTTTTCTCCGCTGAGTAAAACCGATCGTCTGCTTATCACAATAATAATAATAATATAAAAATCATAATAATACTCATACAATAGAGCAAGCCGCAACAATGATCATGTTGTTGTTTTAATTTTAACGGTATCATTGATATGGGGTTTAAGTAAATGTCACTTATACGATTTATATCGTTGAAGTCTCTCGATGAACACCTTTACACAATTTTCTTTGTGATATAACTCCATGCGATCCAAATTTTCATTGTATAAACATTTAATAAAATAAAAAAAACTATGAGGTTCGTGAACATTAATTTTATTTGAAAAAGATTCCGCCGGATTTGGATCGCATTAGCTATAGGTGTTAACAAAGACTCGAAATCAGCGTAAATAAAACTCGACGGGGAATTTATTATAATTATTACAAAAGTTTTAACACGCATACAATTTTCGATTTGGTGAGTCCTCAATTTTAACTCCGAGTAAAACAATAACAGGCAATCACATAAAAAATGGCGAGAGTTATGTTTTGAAAGCTGAATGGATACCAACCGCTCTAGATTAGAAATACAACAGAAATATCCGAACGATTTATAATTTCTATCTATAAACAATAAATTGACATGATTGCTACGTTTATGACCGGTTAAAATGCAATGAACCCGCAATTATTCCATTCACATAAGTGTAAAAATTTATACTTATATTATTTTTCTTTTCAAATTTGTTTATATCTGTTAGAGATATAGGTATGTGACATCTAATAGTCTTTAACACTGTATTTTTAATGTGTGGATGATAATAGGATTCGGGCTTAGTCCATCCACACCACGCGATTGAACCAAATATAAACTAGATACTACAGCCAAAAAAAAAAAGTCTTTTCCCTCACTTCAATAATTATAAATCCATTCTTTGCGATTCTAAAAGCGATTTTAGATAGTACCATGTTAGAGCGTGTATTTCAAGTAACTGACCAAGGATTCCACCTGACTCCTTCGCTATATTTTGACGGCCATATTAACTTTATAGTAGGTAAAGCCTTAAAAGTTTTAGGATTTTTGAAACGACATACTAACCTCTTTACTTCTCCACAATGTTTACGTTCCCTCTATCTTTCACTCGTTCGCTCTATTTTAGAATACGAAGTGGTTGTGTGGCAACCTTATTTAGCTAAAGATCAACTCCGTATTGAAAGTCTACTATTTCATAATTATGAATATTTCTTTTTAATTCAGTTAAGTTACAATTGTCAAGTATACTAATATATCTAGTAATACTTGGTTTTAAACCTTTAATAACATTTCTCACTAACACTTCCTGTGGCATATTGCAGTCAATTCTCTTACATACAGCCTCCATAACATTAATATAAGCAACTGTTTGTTCATCATCTAATTGCATTCTTTTCTCTAATAAAATACGTAAGATATCATTTTGAGCAATTGGTTCAAATTCTTTTCTAATTTTTTTTATAATTCATGCTACGGTAATATTTCGATTCAATATTATCATAAAAGGTTAAAGCAGAATCTTGTAAAAAAGCTACTAAATATTGTGGTTTATGATTGACTGACCAATTATTAATAGTGGCTACTCTATTAATTTTTTTAGCTTCGATGCGAAGCTGAGAAGGTATTAATTTTACTATGATGTGTTTTTTTTTTTTTTTGTGTCTGTATACACTCAATCTTAACTCTCGCTGGACCGATTTTGATGAAAAATATGTCAAAAGATCACATATTGTATTTAGTCGAAAACATTACCCTCAAAATTTGAAAAAAAATCCCTCAATCCCTGTAAACGGGGGAAATCCCTCAAAAAATTACAATTTTTTTTACTTAAATTTGCCATAACCTTTTTAAAAATGGCCTAATCAATATAGTTTTTTTTTGTAGATATCTTAGATTCTCCTGAATTAACAATGGATTTTTACAATTATAATCAAATTTTATAATACGCTCAATTGAGTAAATCTTTTTAACAACTTTGTTTTGATTGGTTCATTTAGTTAAAGTAAATCATTAAAATTAATTAAGTTCTGAATATTTAAATTTCATAATCTTTTTAAACACTAAAAGTTACTAGGAAATGAATACTATTACTTCTATTTGAGTTACTTATTACGATAAAAATACAAAAAAATATTGAGTTTTTCTGATAAATTTACTATAAATAGTAATTATAAAACTTTCTAACTGCATATTAATCTTAACGGTACAATTTTTTTAATTCTAATAAAATTTTCTATTTAATGATGTCAATTTCAAACTCGCCAATTGAGCTAAAAGTTATGGTAAAATAAATAAAATTTTTTTTACTATAAACATTCAAAAAAATCAACTTTAAACGATTAAAAAAATAGGTTAAATATGTCATTTGATTTATTTTTAACATATTAATAATCAATATAATCAGTATTAATTTAAAACAATTTTTTTTCTTTATGTAAATACTTATTTTTTAATAATAATTAATAATATTAAAACTTAAAAGTGATAGAAAAAAATCATACGATCACAAATCGTATCTAGCCGAAGACACTACACTTAAAAATTGAAAAAATTTCCCTCATTCCCCGTAAATGAGGAAAAACTCCAAAAAAATTACAAATTTAAAAATGACTTATTTTCGAAATTTTTTTACTTAAAATTGGCACAACTTTTATAAAAATAACCAAATCAATATAATTTTTTTTATATAGATGCATGATATCATTACCTTTCATTTTGTATATTTTTTTTTATATGTGACCCTTTACTTGTCCACAGGGGGGGATTTAAAATGACAACTTTTTCACAAAAAATTAATTTTTTCAACTTATATTTTGAAAATGTTCCGGAAGATCTGACACTTTAATATATATCTTAAATTAAAGCTAATGTAATATACATTATCATGAAAAAAATTTCGGACTTTATTTTATCTTCACGGTGAAAACAGACATCAAACTTAATAAAAAAAATACGATTTTTGTAAAAAATTCTTTTTTATATTTTTAAATTTATAAAGCTATAACTTTTGAAAAATGTATAGATCATTATATTTCTTTTTTTTATAGATGCATGATGTCTTTACCTATCATTTGGTATATATTTTTTTCATATCTGACCCTTTACCTGCCCACAGAGGGGGATTTAAAATAACAACTTTTTCACAAAAAATTTACTTTTTCAACTTGACTTTTGAAAATGTTCCAGAAGGTCTGACACTTTTATATATATTTTAAATTAAAGCTTATATAATTTACTTTATTATGCAAAAAAATTTCGGACTTTATTTTATCTTCACGGTGAAAATGGCTACCAAATGCTATTATTGTGTGAAAATTCTCGATTTTATTTTTTACATTTTTAACTTTATAATGCTATGACATATTGAAAAGTGTATGGATCAACATTATTTTTTTATGAGAAATAATATTTTTGAATAATCACTTTTTCATTCGACATACTTTATTTTAATTAGGATATTAATAATGAACTAGCAGATCATGTAGCTTTTGGATTAATCCACCAATTTTTTAAAATTAAACACTATCTAAAGATTTGCATCGAAGCGTTTTTTTTTTTATAGTGATTTTAATTACTGTCAGATATCATTATACTTGATCCATCTATACCACGTCACCACTGTGCCGCGACCCCCCTGTGCTGGGTTTTTTTTACTCTATTTGTGTGTGCTACTACTATCCTATAATATTCCAATTTTTTTGGTAACATGTTACTGTATAAATCATTTCTAAAAAAATGATTGTTTTTTCTCCTGAATTAACAATTGATTTTTACAAATATAATCAAATTTTATAATACACTCCATTGAGTAAATCTTTTTAACAACATTATTTTGATTAGTTCATTTAGTTAAAGTAAATTATTAGTAACATGTTACTACATAAATCAATTCTAAAAAAATAATTTTGGGTTACACCTGAATTAACAATGGATTTGTACAATTAAAACAAATTTTTATAATATACTCATATGAGTAGATATTTTTAACAACTTTTTGATTCTTTTTTTTAGTTTCGATGAGAAACTAAGAAAAATTCTCACTGCTCTTTGGAATAATTTTAATAATCAATTCGTTAAAAGGACACGATTTTAATCTAGTTGACTAAAGTCACCAAAAATTGAAAAAAAAATTTAACTTTAGAAATTTAGATAAATATCTACTATAAAAATGGCAACATAAAAAAAAAACTTTTTTTAATTAAATATCACCACAAATAATTAGAGCGTAAAGTTCCTTTTTATACTGATTTGCAAGTAAAATCATATTACTAAAACGAAACATTATTTGATC